TGTGGCCTATACTGTGAGTAGCCGGGGCTACCGATGTACGCGTCAGTGTTCTTATCCTCCCAGACGAATATGTAACCGATTCACCGTCCCGGGAATAAAGAACGTTGGCCTGACCAGGAGCTGATCCGGGAATTGAGCCCCGGAGCAAGCGCGAGGCTCGAGTCCCGGATCAGCTCTTGGTTAGGCCACACACCTTAACTAATCCGCCCCAGCACATAGTCAGAGAGCCCCTGCTAAGAAAACCGAAATGCCTTTCCAGACGAATGTTCTGCATAGTTGCTAGTGAATCATCTCAGAGGCAGCGCGACAATTCCCTCACCCCTTTCTTTCCTGAATCGGACTGTTGCCATGATGATCGATAACGAAGAAACAAACGTTTTTGAAGTAACATTCACTTGATCCCCCTTTCCCATTAAGTGACTGGATCTTTCATCCATAATGGTCACTTCTGCCTGAGGAGTCGGTCATACCGGTTTATTGTTCCGCTAGTCGCCAAACTTCAATTTCTCATCAACAACCGATACTTAGTTCGACGAACTTCCATTTCGCGGACTTTCATGCCCGGCCCTTTCAGAAAACATATACTGACTAAATATCGACGACATTCCTAAGAAGGTCTCAAAGGAAGCCGATAACGAAACACTTTGAAAGGGTATCGGCGGCGCTGAAATCATCCCCAGGCCACTCAGAAGGTAAAGGGTGTGACTGGCACAGGTCCTGATTACTGGGATCTTATGCTTTGGATATCTTGCAAGCCTTGGACAGCTCATTCTTGAACAGTCCCCAGCAAGGGATGGGTCGTATAGTGTTAAAATACACAAGGAAATTTAGTCCAGATTATGTTGAGTCAGAGTCAGCCCCTACCCCTTCTGAGCTTTGTGTGCCGTACAGGGCACATCATCCTTGGTTACCCGACAATGGGGTCGTATTTGAATTGGGCTGGGAGATTGGGGTCGCATTTGCTTGTTTGTAAGGATTCTCTGATGTGCGAAAGAAAGCAATCGGGAAAGCTTTGAAATTTTTCGAAGACTCTGCCGCGGTCCGGGGCGAGCTTATCCCGCGGCAGTTCCCGTATGCAGATGAACAAAGGTAGTTTGCGAATGAGCTTCAAACATGGTGTCTCGCTTTTCGCTCCGCGAAACAAGTCATGAACGTACTTCCGTGGTACACTAGCGGTGCAGAGTCGTTTGTTGATGGCCCCACGCCCATTTTTCCCCCGAGATCGCTCCCTGCGCCCCTGGAGAATAACACTTTTGCTAGCGATCTGCAAAATGTCACAGCTCGTAAGATAAAGTTAATTGCCGATGATGGTGAAGTGGCAAGAGGCGCTTACCACGCGCACGATGCATGGATTACTGGGCTTGGGAGAGTTCAGCATCGGCCCCTCAAGGTCAACCAAGTATTCATCCCTTTTGGGGTTGACCAAATGACACCTGACTCGTTTGGGATAGAAAGATAAACCGAATCCCATTCGAAATACGACTCTGAACAGATACAAAATACATGGCATAACCAGAAGAGATTAATCAACTCCGAAAGCTTTATCCTCAGCCGTAATAGGAGCAATTTAGCGCCATAGCACTGCCAATTCATGCAATAAAATTGTAATAAAGACATATTAACATTAACAGCCCAGTCTTTAGCTAGCCTTAATCACGAGGTAGACAGCTATTATCCTCCTAAAACTGAAAATCGGTGGAAATCCAATTATTCGGAATGGTAGCACATAATCAGTGTTGAATGCTGGAAGGCATGCTGTAACTACAGTACGCCCCCAAAAACTGCCGTGAAATTCATGTCCGAATCCTACACTTGGGCATAGGAAGCGGCAGGGAAGGCGAGAGCGAGGCTAATTCGCGGTTTTCCACAGGGCCCCGTACCAGGGGCTGTCAAGGCCGAAAAACTACTGGGGTTGAGCCACTCGTAGCTCTACCACTCGGGTTGAACGTTCCGCTTCAGAAACTGTAATAACCGGTTTCATTCTTTCACTATAATTTGAGCTATCTAAGCAAGACATAGGCGCAGTTGCGGCGAGGGGGGGGGGTGGAGCTCTTCGCACTCTTGCTACTTAGCATCGACCTTTTAGCTGCCTAGAAAGTTATTATGAGCTTACAAGTATGACCAGTATAAGTATGACAGTCTTATCATGGGCGAGCTTGCTCCAGCTTCTCAAGAGTTCACAGGTTACCCCGAGTGAGACCTGTACACCGGATTTAGTGGAGCAGTGCAAAATCCCTCCCCCCCCCATCGCCGAACAGCGCCAGACGTAATAGCGCCCCAATGCAGCCGGACGAAATTTGGCCGAATCTTGTGGAATGACAACTTCCTCACAATCTAACCTGATGAACCCTGCCCAGAACATTTCAAGTCATTATATAGCCCAAGTTTTCAAGGGCCAAAATCGAAAATCGATCAATGTCCGGATGCTTTATAGTGCGTAAACGCGCATATTATTTGCGATGTCGTCGCTGAGTCAGCCGTCTTTTGTGCGCGTGACTCATCTGGACAAGATGTACGACGAGCTGCACGGCCAGCCAGCACTGCAATACCGAACCCCACCATATATCGATCGCTATTCCAAACGAAAACCAATTTCATACGAATGGATCAAATTAGCACATATTTACGACAGGATCGAGGACTACTAGCGATCAGAACTGGACCCTTCCTCTACACTACGCCAAATTCTGAGCTCGCTGCTTTACAGTATTACGGTAGATAGCTCGATTACGGTACCAAAATGTCCACTCACCATTCCTTCGAGTTCTTGGATTCGATCGATTTTCTTCTGTCGGCATTTCGTGGCTGCAGCTCGATTCCGGGCACGTTTTCGGTCAAGTTTTCGCTTTTCCTGTTCGTCCATCACCAGCCTGAATCGAGAACAGTTAGAAGAATGCGGTATCAGGATAGCTGGACTTGAAAGCTAGTTCATTACCCTTATAAAGTACCATTTAGTCAATATTACCTGCTGGACAAGCAAAATCCTGCTAGAGGCTCAAATAGGTTTCTTAAGTGACATCATCCGACCTTTCAAGTTTAAAACCTTTTCTGACTCACTAGATAGAGCTGGAAATTGTTACTGGCGACATCGAAAAATAATATTTCCATGGAAAAAGCGAAAACAACCGAATAAAATGACAGAATTTTGCAAGGATACTGTAGGAGAGATGGGGAACCCAACTGAAAGGAATAAAACTAACCAATCACTATGAGGAGCATGATGTTGAATATTGTAGAGAGGTGGATTGCGTAGTCGCGCGTTCATCGAGGAGGCCGAAGGGTTTTGATGATGGCGGCGGCGGAGCGCTGATGGCGGTGGTGGCGACCAAGCGTCGTCGCCGCCGCCACTCGCGCGCATGACTCACCCTCACCCCAACCCCACCCCATTGAAGCGGCGCCCAGTATTGCGAGCCATTTGGGAAACATCAGGAGCAGCCCACCATCGAATACTGTTCAAATAGCAGCGCGGAAAAAGCTGGTCAGGGAGGAAAAGGGAAAAAAATTACGGACAAAAACAGTCAGAAAATCAGAAATAACAACGGGGGGATGGTAATGACCTTCGCAGAACTGGTCCTCTCTGCAAATCGCAGCGTTTAGTGCAGAAAAACTGCTAGGCTATTTTGGAACTCCCCTTGAAAACCAATCAATTTCCGATCGAATTCTCTCGAAAGGTTATTACGTAACCCTTTAGCACTTCTTTTTGGGAATCTCGATGTTGTAAATCCGTAGGCGGCTGTATTTCATCGGTGGCGGAGGGAAAAGGGTAGTGCTGCGGCGAAACCCTTTATTTGTGATTTTTCCCCGCTTTCAGGTGCGCTATATAAACTTTTGCACCTCTAGTGAGCTAGCGGATAGAGCGAACATTCTCCCCTTCATGGTATGGTTGAGCAATGCCGAAGGAAAGGATATGGGATGGGGTCGTATTGCGTATCAGAAAAACATGTTCCCTATCCCATGATGCCCTATGGGTGAAACTTAACCGAACAACACCAAAGAACTCACTCTGCGGACCGTCCAGTCCTCGGATCTGGTGGAGGTGTGTGGAAACACGATGAATTATAGGAATATGAAGGAAATGTTGCAAAATCCATCGTTGATGACGATCAACGACGACGGGACGAAGATGTACAAGACGTGATGTGAATTATATAGAGGGCAATCAGAGTGATAAGGATTCGAATGGTGGTGGTGTTATCGCAATGACTCAGACGGACAGCCAGCCAGACAGACGGTGTCCTCCCCGTTGTCGTTTCAGGCAGAGCCAGGCGCCTGCGTGCGCTAAACGAACACCGCCGCATCGGCGAATAAATCGCCCTCGCCAAACCGTGCAGCAAAATAGCCATCTCGAGTCATCGCTATGCTATTTCCAATCTCCTCCATAAGCTTCTCTTCCCAGGTGGAAAAACCGTTTTGCAAGAGTGGGCGTGTCCTCTCAACTTGGGGTTGTCAAAGGTAATCTGCAGAGGTTGCTTCCAGAATAGTGCAAAATGCGCTCAAAGCACTGGTAGCAACTCCTAATTGAAAAACTCGAACGAACTTCCACAGTGCAAACTGAACAAAGTGATGATGAAACTACTGCACTTTAATGACGTCACTTTTGTAAACAGAAGTTGCTGAGACGGCTTATCGAACGAATATGAAACTCGCATACGACAGTTGCAGTTTGAATCCAATGAGATCGCTGGAGGAATAAACGGAATACGGAAATCGGAACGGTGAATTTTCTGAACTAGGGAAACAGCCATCCAAAGAGAAGATGATTTTTTTACCGAATTGAAGAAGAGGATGTGGTGCAATTCAGTACGCGGCATCAGGTTGATCAGGCGGTGCCAGGGCACATCCTTGTTGGGGATTCCCCAACAGGGGCGGTCGTATTTGGTCGCTTTGGGGAGGGGCTAGTCGCAAATGGTCTAAGAAAAAAATTTTCTGATAATGATATTTCTTGTTTCAGAGACGCTATAAAGGGGGATCATATTTGTTCGGGTTGTTGGGAGGGGGGGGGGGGGGGAAGAGATTGTATCTGGCTTCTAGCTTCTAAAAGAATTCTAAGAGGGTTGTGCTTTCGTGATTTTCCTGTTTCATGTGTATTATATTACCCCCCCCCGAAAGCAAAAATTTTCGGGAAATTCCGGAAAAACTGGTAGGAATAGGGGAAAATTTAAGTGGTAGGTATGATGTGCAGGAGGGGTCGCATTTATATACAGCTCGATGGGAAGGGAAGTAGGGGCTTACCAATCCGCCTAAAAAAAGGAAGACGGGGGGGCGTCGTACGGACTCGACCGAAATAACGATGTGCCTTAGGTCGTGCAAAATAGGGCCAGTTAGCAGTTGGCCGATAGATAAAAAGGTTTTTTTTCTAGTACGAAATTTGTGGGGAAGGTGACAACTTTCCCAACGCTTTCTTAACAGGCGGTTTGGTTTGAACAATTCAGCGGTTGCTATGGAGAAGGATTATTTTGTTTCACCAAATCTTTGCTAAATTTGCATATGTTAAAGCTCGGTGTTAAGGTGATGAAAGTGGACGGTTTCGACACCAGCTTTTTCTGATCGATCGAGATACTGTAGCAGCAGAAGCAGCTCCATATTTGTGAAGTGCATAAGGAGCAGTGTTTTTCAGGAGGCATAAGTTTGTTGCTTCGGAGCTAAGGGGTTCGACCTTATGCATGGGAGGAGCGCCCACCTTGGCAACCTGAGGAGCGACTGCATGCGTAACCCAAGAATCAATCATATGTTTCTAAAACTCTCCAGGGTACAGATAAACCTTCCCCTCAAACAAGAATTGGAAGTGTTTCGTCATCTCTCATTGAATCCACATTATCTGGAGTAGATATTCGTGAATAAGCTAAATCGGTAAGCTTTCAAGCGAACTCAATAAAGCGCGTCCGGCCGATGCTCGCTTGCAAGAGTTAACTTGGAACTCTTCAAAGCCCAAGTGTGGCAAGCCCTCCTTGAGATTATGGCTGCCTGCTTCTTGTCCATAAACTTTTAAAAAAGAGGTGAGTTTTGTGGGCTTTCCTTTTCTTGGAAAGCAACAGGAAAAAGGCAGGGTTTGTCGGGAAAGGCTCATTCCCGTTAACTTGAACGCTGCCTCAACTATTCATTTTCAACATTCAATTAATTGGTGAATCTTTTGGAAAAGAAGCTTGGCAATGAAATCTTCTGGAAACATTCTCTATCGATAGTGTGGACATATATGTTAATGGCAAAGGTTTGATCTTGAACAAAGTTCAAAGCTGGAAAAAACACCACAACCTGGTAATTTATAGTGGGCCAATTCCGCTATTGCCCAGGTTCCAATACATTTAAACTGTCGCCTCGTTTCTGAATGAAGATGGACTGCATGGCGCATTCCGAAAAAGAATTCACCCATGTCACTGCCATTGATATTCATAGGCTTCAAAATCGGAGAAATAACGTTTGGATCGCATCTGCCATCAAGTTTTCCTCATGCACTCAGGAAGGGTATAGGAAAGGCTAATGTTTCATGAACGCGACAAGTAACCAAGGCCAATGTAAAACCCTAGAAGTCTTAGCTTGATGCAAGGTTTTCAGAACTTTTACCTCGTCAGACGAGGGCAGCCATACCGAGGCACCTTTCAACTGAGGATTCAGTTTCTATAAGCAGCCAGTCCAGTTATGGAGAGTTGAGACCTATCGCGATTGGGCTGCCACCGAGATTCTGTACGCTTTTGCTTCACTAGACATTTCAGACCCCTGACATCAACGCAAGCCTCCTAGAAGTTTGAAAGCAGTGTTAGAGCATCGTGATGTCCTGGTTCAGTTATGGCCGTTTCAGAAGGAGGGCGTCTCGGTACGACAACCCCCGCCGCCCTGGCCATCCCCAACAACTACCATGCCAGCTCCTACAAGTTCCCAGCTTCCTACCAGTTGTCTTCCGGAAATTCCTGAAAATTTCGCCAGTTTTTCCCACCCAGAATATCTTGCTGGCCAAGGGGGCGAGAGGGGCATAATATAGCACATGTGAAACCGGGAAAAACCTCGGAAAACTCCAACAACTGGGAAATTTTTCTCCATGGCGACAAATTTCTCTCAGAGACAGATACGACCATCCCCCCCCTCTCCCAATAACGACCAAATACGATCCCTCTCTCTCCACAGCGCACAAGTACGACCCCCCCCCGCCATGTGTTTCACACAACGATGCTGTACCCTGATTCGAGTACTCCTGTGAAGGATATCTCAAGCGAGCTTTGTAGTGGCTAGTTCTTGTTAGCTTATAGTTCCCCTCTTCCATACACCATGGCGATACGTGGAAAGTGGGGAGACGACTGGCATTCCCCTATAAGGTCCAATTTAAAGCGCTGCAGTACACATTGGTAAACTTGCTTCCGCTCATACGTTCTATCTTCCGCCATGCACCGTAGAATGCGCACAGCAAACTTCCTGCAAGAATCACATAGGCGTGTTTTTGAATTGTCTTCTTACCTGATGCCAACCGAATTTGAGGTGAACTCTTAACTGTAGGCCTAAGATAGTTGTCCTCAGAGGCCTAAACGTGGATCAAGTTTTATAATTTTTTTACCCCAAACGCCTCGTCCCCTAGCATCCGACAGAACTTTGAGAAACACGATAGAAAAGAGAAGCTGGGGACAAGTCGGTGTAATCACCGAAGCGTCCTCTGTTAGCAGGGTATGTCCGGTTGCTAGGAAAAACTTTTTCAAAACTCGCCGACGGCCAGTTCCCCTCTTCTGGCAGCGGTCCCCTTTCCCACTAAAGGTTCCTCCATACCAAATAAAGGTTTTTCCCCCCAACTTTTTACCATCTTTCCCGCAACTTAGCGAGAATTTTCTATTGTTCCCCGAAATTTTCCTGTCGGGCGAGGGGAAGGGCTCAAAAAGTTCTCGATTCAGCTATCGGAATAATGGGTTGTATAACCCCCCTTTTCCCGACCCCCCTGCAAACCCCGACGACTAAGGGGGAGGGGTGGGGGTGGAGACCCTCCTCTAATGGAATCTCCCAAATGTGGGTGAGACAGGAAAAATCAACTATCAAAAAAATTTACCAGGCCGTAAACGACTTCCCCGGAACCGTGCCCTGATTGCAGTCAACGTCGCTTTTATTTTCCTCCGCCATTTCCGAGACGGTTTTGCCTTTTCTTTTCCGGAATCAATTTCTGAGTCCAGTGATGGATAGGGAGCCTCAAAGGTAATGGCAAAGGATCAGGAGAGATACAGCTGTCATGGTTTTCTCCTCATAGTCAGGACCCACAAGAGCTACCTCTACAAAAAGTAGGTTCCGGTGAGTGTTGTACCATCTTCGCCCCCAATAGAAAGGGTTTAGAAATTAGTAGCCTATCAGCTAGATATCGGACAACATTTTATTTGGCAATATCCCACT